GTTCCCAGTTTTAAACTGGTTTTCTTCCAGTGGGAAAGGGAAATAACCGACTACGGTTAGTTCAAGGGTTTGCTGATGAGGCCAGTCAGACAGAAATTTGGGTTTCTTACAGAGGAGCTGTTTGATAAACCGACAGGTAATGTTTGAGAATTGAAGATTTACTGCAGTAGTAGTCTCACTCTTTTTATTGTAGATGTCTGATGGCGGCTTCCAGCTAATCTCCATCTTATTTTAGCGTAGCTCAGAGGGAAAACCGACTCAACAACTTCCTGCAAATGAGATGTCTGCACAAAAACTTTTTTTCTCCCCCCATATGTTACCAAGATTTCTACTTTGTGCAGAACACTGCCAGAAATTTGAATCTAATTAAATAGTTTTCTCTTAAAATAAGTGCCCTTGTTCTTGAATTGAGGTAGGTGAGACTCTTTCAATGGAAAAGGACAATTTGCATTTAAAATAAGAAAAACAATTGCAATGTCTTATTTCAGGCGCATATGTAGTCAAAATACTAATTCTACTGGCAAATAATCTTATTTATCTGCTCAAATTAACGTTAAATACACTTAATTTTTTACTTATTTCTAGGAAGATAGTGCAGCAGCATCGCCTTATTTAGTGACAGCAGTGTTCGATCATACGTCTGACAGCCGGAGTGCCTCCTTTCTGCACTTCACTGCTCCTCAGAAATGAAATTTCTGCGAGGCACAAAGGGAGCCCTGGTGGCACTAGGCCGTGATTTAGAACACTTCCAAACGCCATATGTCATCCATTAACACCTCTAAGACAGCTGCAGGAGCAGAATGAATGCGGCGCTGCGGCTCACCTGCAGGAGCGGCACTAGCCTTCTGTCCTCCCAGTCAGTTAGCAGGTGTTAGAGCGGCTCCATAGACGTTAGAGAAACATAACCTTTTAGTGCTTCCATTTCCATCGGGTATGAAGATGCATCATTAAGACAGTGACGTTTCTGGAATCGGGTTCTGTCCTGTGTTCAGGAATGAAGGATCTGCGCTCTGAGAGGTTAACTGGTCCATCCCTCCAGCATCCAGAGGCAGGGGGGGATTTACTATTAGGAAATACTATGCAGGTGCCTAGGGCCCCAAGTTCCTGGGGGCCCCATAAAACTGTGTTTACATGTCTGGTTAATGCAACTATTCCTTATTTGTCCACATTAATTATGTTGTTGATAAAAAAAATTCTCTAATTCTCTAAAATGTCATCATAACGCTGATAATATTAAGTGTGTCTCATCCCCCCCCCTTCAGTGTCCACCATATTGGATCAGTCCATTTGCTGCACATGTCCAGAAAGGTCCAAACAGACAGCAGCAAACCATTTGAAAACAAACCATGCAAAGAGCAGTGTTGCCAACTTAGCGCTTTAGTCGCTATATTTAGCCACTTTTCAGACCCCTCTAGCACTTTGATTTCTAAAAAGCTCCTAGCGCCAAATCTAGAGACTTTTTTCTGCTACTGGAGACTTTGGAGACAACATCTAAAAGCAGCAAACTCTGCTCTCCAGAGCGAGTAGATTGGTAACCCCGCCTCCTGCTCTCCTCTATCTTGTCTGCTGTCATGATTCATGCAGCTATTATTTCATCCAAATGAAAAATGGAGAACAGATAAGCAGATCATGGCTTGTCTACAGTGAAAAGAAGGACTGGGTTATTTACTTTGGCCTTTTTGGAAACACAGGAAGGAGCAATCAGCTAAGTGAGCTTAGTGCTTGGAAAAAATCTTTCATTCCTTTAGAGACAGCATGAAAAGTCAGCTGAGTACAAAACATAGAGAGGAAAACAAGAAGAAAAGGGACAAGAAGAGAGGGACACAACCTAGAACAGATAATGGATTAGGCTTGGGTCGGATCGGGACGCCGATATTGGCAAAAAAAATGTGTATCGGCAAAGCATGTAAAATGCCGATCCAGACTGCCGATCCAGTTTTTAAAAAAAAATCCGGTCCGTATTTTCCAGTTTCGCCGATTGAAACAATCCATTCCACTATTTTGCGCCAGTGTTTCCCTGTTTTGCATTTTTATTAAAACTTACAGTAATACTTGCACCGTTAACTGTTTACGGTTTTACTGTTCACTGTGCAATTTCAGATTGCTATTCATAATTTTGTCCAGTTTGTGTTTATCTCTTAATAAACAGGTAAGTGTGTTGTTACCAAGCATTGTGTTTTATTCAATCTCACCTAATTTAGCTGGCTAGATGTTATCAAGAGTACTAAAACCCTTTTCAACATGAGTCTTACAACTAAGGCTAAATACTTTAACTTAAACTTAAATACATGCTCGGATAGGCTGGTATCGGCCAGTATCGGTATCGGATCGGAAGTCCAAAAACAATATCGGTATTGGATCGGAAGTGCAAAGACCTGGATCGGGACATCTCTATAATGGATGTCTATTCTATTAACATTTCTCTATCTGTAGAATGGGTCTTTTGCTGCCTGTCTTTGCCTAGGGCCCCAGGTTTCCTAAATCCGCCCCTGTCTAGAGGGGATCATGGTCCAGTCTGCAGTATCGGCTGGTTAGAAGCTCTGAAGGAGGCAGATGAACACAAACCACTCAAACCAAAGGTTTGCTTTTGGCTAAAGGTCATTTTAATGAGTTTCCTTAGAAAGGCTCTACTGTCTCACAAATATTGACACCCCCACATCCCCCAAGCTGTTCCTGCCCACTGTCAGTCAGCTGGCTGAAGGAAAAAGGCTATCGGCCAGCAAATAGACAATGTGGCGAATCTTATCGTTGGGATTGTTGCATTTCTTCCTGCATTAAAAATAACAAACGAGAAATTACAGCTTTAATGAGAAAGGAACAGAAAAAAAAGTGGTGCTGATGGTGGGGGTCCAAACCTTTGCTGTTGGGGCCTTCCCCTGTGTGGGAGTTCTCTGGTTTCATTCTGCTTTCTCAAAGCCTGCTGAGTTGAAGGGGTGACGCTAAATCATAGGTGCGGATTAGGGCTGCAATTAATGATTATTTTGCAAATTGATTAATCTATTAATCTGCCAAAGGTTCCTTAAAGAAGGTTTTTTTGGGAAATTTAACCAGGTGAAACATTTTTTCCACTTAAATTCTGGATAGAGGGGTAGGGGTCCTCCTGCAGTAAAGAAGAAAAAGATTGTTGTCTTAAATGTAAAATTTTTATATATATATTTTGATAATTCTGGTATAATGTCTATGGGTCACACCTGTATAATTGGGTCACTGTCAGCTAAAGGTATGGTTTACAGTCTCTATACTTCAGTAAACGATTAATTGATTAATAAATTAGTTGACAACTATTTCAATAATAGATTAATCTGACTAATTGTTTCAGCCCAAATATGGATGTTTGTGAATTAAACAACCGTTTAATTCGATTTGCATTTATGCACTGCAAAAAATGTAAATGTAAATAAGTAATTTTTTTCTTAAAATAAGTTTATTTTTTCTTTAATTGAGGAGGTAAATGAGGCACATTGGCAGTGGAACAAGAAAATTTACATTTAAAATAAAAATTAAAACAATTGCATTGTCTTATTTCTAGTGCCTATTATCCAATCATCTTATTTTAAGAGTATAAACACTCATTCCATTGGCAGATCATCTTATTTAAATGCTCAGATTAAGGATAAATACACTTAATTTAAGACATTTTTCTTTTTTGCAGTGTGGTTTTATTTTGCATAACATTTTCAGCGAGCAGGAAAATGTTGCTTTTGCTCAGGTCAAAAGCTTCCTTCTGTTTTGGTTTTATCCTCTAAACTGTTTTGGAGTTGATGTTTTAGCTCCTGAAACGAGCAAAGTGCCGCAAAGGAAAGAACGACACAGAACAACCTAAAGGTTCGTCGTTGTTTCCTAGAATTTGATGAAGAGCAAAAACAAAACTGAAAAAAAGGAGAAATTGTTGCGTTGGATGTGTCCGTCCTCTGCAGCCTGTCTGACAGCCTACTAATCCTCACCCCCCATCGTAATCACCAGCCCCAAGACTGCATCTGATATTGATCACGTTATTCCAACTCCAACTAATCATTAACATGACTGGCAGTTGCACAAAGAGAAGAAAGCCTGAGCTCTTTCAAAGCTGAGCCCCACTGGCTGTGCATGAGGAGCCAGGGACACTGAATGAGGGAAACGACTCCTCTTTTATCAGCTACGCCCTTCTGTCCTCCAGATCTACATCTTTTATTCACTCCTTTTCTCTCTAAATGATCCATACTGGGAGGCCAGGTTGCTGGCAAATGCACGCATCTAAAGGTTGTTGGCTTGGTGGGGGTGGAGGGGTGGGCTATGATCTCGTTATGCTGCTAATGGAGAGGCTGGCACAGGAATGTAAGCTGTGTTTTCATTTGTTAATTTATTTATTTATTTGAGCCATTTGTTTTTTGAGAGAAGGACACAGGTGCCCTTGCAGAGCGATGTGACGTGAGCGGACTGTGAATTTGCCAGGTGGCAGAGAAAGACAGAACCGGAGGAAGTGAAGGTAATGAAATCAAAGTAGAGAGGAAAGAGGAAGCAGATAGACCCTGAGAGGAAGGGAAGTCCATCGGGAAGCTGCTAGAATCTTCTGGAAGGGGTCCGTTTGACCACCATGTTAAAGGTTTGATAGAACTGATCAGCATCCAGGCGGAGAGACTTCATTGTGTCCAATGAGGCCGGAGCCGCGTGTCCACCAACAAACACACTGCAGTTTTCACCCTGATGCGCTCACTTAGGATACCTCTCGCTGGAAGATTTATAGGCGTAGTGATTGGCTTCATCGCCCCCCCCTCCACCATTCTGCGGCACTGCCATTTGCAATGGTTGATGAGCCCCTCCGCCCTCTCAAACATGGCCGTCTCAGGGATTGGGGGTGGGGGGAAATGAGGGAAGGAGGGTTGATGGCGTAAAGCACGCCGCCTCTGATCGCTCCTCCTTCACCTCCTCCATGGTCTGGCTGTGTTCTCCATGCACCTTTCCAGGGCTCCGCTGAAGGTCATTGTTGCAGCCCTGCGCCCCTCCAGCCTCTCCGCCTTTGTTACTTTTCTCTAAGAGCAGCGAGTGAATGGACTGCCGTACTTTATAGTGCTGCGTCAAAAGAGGCGGAGTAGAGGAGAAAATGACATTTTTTGGGACCGGCGTTGGGGGGGTGGGGATGTGACGTCCTGAGGAGAGGAGGCCGGCCATTGGCTGCATCGGCTGTCAGTCCTGCGCGCTGCTGCAGACGGACAGGCCACTCGATGAATATGGATGAGAGCAGTGAAAAGGGTGATGCGGCAGGGAAGACCCCCCCTCCTCAAACCGAAGCAGGCTTGAACAATGCGTGCCGTCTTTCACTGAAAACACTCAGAGCCTGCATTAGCATTTTCTCAGACAATTGAGGCTGTGGCCAGCTGCAGGCATGGCCGGGATGCTGCGGTGAAATCTCTTTTTCTGCTCCCACTGATGAATGAGACCTTGGTGAAAAAAGGTCGACTGGCCGCATTCCTCAACACCACCGTCGCACCTATGCCTCGGCTAACGTCAGGAGCCCCTTTAGAGATTGCGCCCCGGCATTGATGGCGATCTGACAGAGGACTTTAGAAGCAGCAGATCTCAGAATGGGTAAGCTTCAAACTCTGAATGTCTGACTTGTTGAATTTATCCATCAAACGGCGCCGTGGATAGTTTCATAGGCGTCTTAGGCTCATTTGTTGGCTGCGGCTCATTTTTGTTCCGCCGTCCTTGCTCCCCATCAGGAGCAGGTTGGTCCATTGAGATGCAGAATGGGTACTTAGACGGGTAGTGAGAAGGAGGGGAGGACGGTCACAAGGCATTTCCTCCTGACCCACCCCCCCTTGAGTGACTTAACTAAACACATTTGGCTCAGAAACCGTGTCTCTCCTCCAAGCCATCCTTCCAGTACTGAGAGCGAGGGTTTGAACTAACACCCCACTGGCTTCATCTCCCAGTGTGCCCCACTGCTCCGGTTCCCTGGCGACAGGTTGCCATGTTTACTCTACCACATGACGCTATTAAAACCTGCTACTGTGATCTCAGACACTGGGACAGAATGAATTATTGACTAATGACACCAAACGTGGCTGTGAGGGTGACAGAGGGGGTCTTGGCGGCTTCCTCCCCTGCTTGGTTCACTCTGACTGAAGATGAGCAGAAAGTTACGCAGTGGGTCGGGGATTGTCTGTCAACAACAGGTCCTGGAATATTCAGATCGTTCAATGATGATTTCTCTCCTGCTGGCATGCCGTCAGTCATCCTGAAATGAGAGTGAGAGCCCAGGAGCGGTTAAAGCCTGTTACTTGATTTTTCCCATCAAGGTCATTTTGTGTTTTACGTTAAAGCAGAGGGCTGACTGCAGCGCTCTAAGATGAGACGGTTGACAATTACATGAGATACGTTAAGATTAATAGTTTTTTGACATGAATTATTCCTTAGCTTTAATCCCCCCCCCCCCCCCTGGTTTAAGGATCCTTGTCAGAACAATACAGTGATGTTCATGAAGCTGGGCGTACGTCTGAATGGAACATGAGGGGCATGTTAATGCAACAAGAGGAAGAGCTGTCATGGAAGTCACAGTGCCATGTCCTTTCACATCATAGAAGCAACAGGTTGGTGTGTCCACCCGTCCTCTGCGTCTCCAGTATTCCGTCCACACTGAGCGGTGACCCGTTGACAGACTGCGACAGCTGACACCGTCTAATGTCCAACCTGAAAGCAGAGGAGCCGTGTACAGAACGGCGCTGGGTAACGTCCCTGCTCCGCTCTGCTGACGTCATCCCTTTGGGAAGGGAAGAAGGATGAACATGACGTCATTGCATCCATATCAGCATGCGGAGAAGATGGTTGTGTCTGTGCTGAAGTTGTAGTGTGCTGCTGTGTTGCATCTTCTCCGTGACGTCATCTGGATGTTGCGTGGCTTTAGGCCCTTTTCTTCGGTTCGTCTATAACGTTTCGGGCACATTGTGGCCCATTGCTTCTCTGTGGTTTCCACTCAATCAGATTCTGAGGAGTTTTTCCAAGCTAAGGGGTGAAAGATTTTCTGCACAGTGACTCTGTCAATCAGCCACTGCTAAAAGCCACTTTAAACCACAAAAGCCCCTCCTAAATGCAGGAGATTTAAACCGTTTTGGCTCTATACTCTTTGAACAAATCTGCAGGATTGCTTCCCATATGTCCTCCACACGTCGGCTAATTACTGAGGATAATTCTGCGCGGCTATTCATGAGCTGCTTGGATGAGGAGTTGAATATAATTGTGTTTTGTCCTGACAGTTTGTGCCTCAGATTCCTTGTTTTTAGTTTTTGCATAAAGCAGGATTACTCACACTAGGCACGGATGGGTATTTATTAGAACTCCATGAAAATGGTTAAAATTAGACCTGTGCAAACCAGAAAGGAGGTCATCATTTACTCTACATGAAAATCTGGGACAGGACACGGAACATGCCACCATTCTGATGAGATGTAAAAGTACTCTGACTATCTAGAGCTTCTTCTTCAGGAATTATTAACCTTTTTATGTTCAGTCATTTACACACATTTAATGCTTTGGTGTTTTTTCCCCCACATATTTAGTGTAAATGACCTGTTTTATAGCTGCTGTACATGATGTGGCCCTTTTCCCTCTTTGTGTGTCTTCTCCCAGAGGAGGGTGAGTACTTCCTGAAGGTGCTGATCCCCAGCTATGCAGCCGGCTCTATTATTGGCAAGGGTGGCCAGACCATTGTACAGCTGCAGAAGGAGACGGGTGCCACCATTAAGCTGTCCAAGTCCAAAGACTTCTACCCCGGTAAGACGGAGCCCCAAAACTAGAGGGTCTTAGTAAGGTGTGGGGGGGTGGGGGGTCCTCATGCAGTAAAAGAGGGATGACCTTGATAAATATCCGGCATCTGCGAATCTGGTCTCATCTTAGCGTGTTGGTTTGACTGGTAGCACACAGATCCCCACAGCAGCTGATTTTAGTCAGCTACTCGGCGCCGGGGCGCTTTCCTTAGCATCAGAGCTAAATGACGTAGAGCAAACTAGAGAGAATGTAAGAGCTGAGCTCCAGTTCTCTGTCTCATCATACATTATATCATCTGCTATCCTGGTTGGTACAACGGTTTAAACCAGGCATCCCCAAAGTTGGTCCTGGAGGGCTGCCGTCCTGCAGGTTTGAGAGGTTTCTCTGCTTTAGCACAGCTGATTGCAATGATTGCAGTTCAGCAAAAGCCTGTTAATTAAATATCAATGTAAATCAGCTGTGTTAGAGCAGGAAACCTCTAAAACCTGGAGGACTGCGGCCCTCCAGGACCGACTTGGGGATGCCTGCTTTAAACGGTACAGAAACAGGACAGGAAGAGTTTGACATGGCTGCCATAGAGCGATAACCATGGAGATGTCCTCATGTGGTGGTGGTGGACGCTATCATCTGTTCTAAAACAAAGGGAACATAGGTTCATCCAACTGGTTGGTCAAACCTAAAGCAAAACTACAGCAGTTAGTTATGATTCCTATCAGCAATGTTTCTTTCATTTTCTGCTTTGTTTTGTTTCACAGCTAATGAAACATTTGCCACATTTATGCTTTTAATATCATCCTATATCTTATTATACCTCTATAATTTTCACTATAATTTTAATAATAATGTTATAATGTGTAAACTTTCTGGATATTTGTGTTAAAAATAGCTCAGTTCAATTCAGCAGAACGGGTTATTAATTCAAGCTGAATTAATAACCCCTTCTGCTGAAATAATACCACTTATCCATGCAGGACAGTTCAGAAAGACACAATCTTGCTTTTGGACAGTTGGAGCAGGATGGAGAACCCAGGAGAACCCAAAGAGACATGCAGAAAGGCCCCAGGAGGGATTTGAACCCAGAACCTTATTGCTTAAAGGCTGCTATATGTTTGGGGGCACTCATCATACTAAATACCATAGATCCGTCCTTGTTTTTATTTTCAGATTTTAATGACGTCAAACAGGCGTTTCAGTCACGTTTCGCTATATGATTGGCTAAACGTTGCTGCATGACGTAAAAACATTGTGGTTGCCCAGACAACGTTAATCAGGTAACGCTTTCTTTTACAATACATCAATAACAATGTAATAACATGGTAATAACAAAGAAAGTCACATTATATAATTTGGTAACAAGAAAAGCTTTATTTGGTAATTACTTCAAAATTAAAGTAATTTAAAATTAATTCCCTGCATGTATTTGTTATAATTGTATGTTACTATGAAACAAGGAGACTCTTGGTGGGTAATTCCCATTAGGTTACCACATAACGGTTTCTGTTTATGGCCACCACCTACTAACAGCTCACAAAGTAAAGTGTAATTATGATCAGATAAATAAATCATTATAAAACTGAACTCTAGATTTTCTTAACTAAACTAAGAGTTTAGTTAAAAAGATTGGCTTGCAGTATTCTAGGTTAGATTTTTTGTTATATGCCAAGTAATACGCTGCATTTTACTAGATAATAACACATTAATTTATTGCTGTCGGTGAAATTAATGAGTTACCTGGTAATAGCTGTTTGAAATCTTAGAAGTCTGACAGCACTTACCAAAGTTCTCCATAAAGTTTCTTCTTGTTACCAAGTAATATAGTGTAATTGGCTAAGTTATTACCATGTTATTACATGGTTATTGGTGTACAAAGAAAGTGTTACTGTTAATAACAAGGCAGCATTTGTGCCCAGACAATGATAATAACAGAGCTTGGAGCATTTGCAGTGTTAGCGTGTCAAATGACCGATGACGTTTTACCTGGTCCGTAACAAGCCTGAACCCGTCCATAGAAGCCTTTATTGCAGCAACATATAGAAAAGGGGCAGCATCTGGAGAGAAAGGACTTTCTATCAGCATATGATGAAGGACTGTTTGATCCTGTAGTTTTTCATAACCAAATATTCATGTCTGTATAAATGTTTGTAACGTGACCTTGGAAGCCTGTAGCATGTTTGGAGCTCGATTAGCCTGCAGAAAGCTGGATGTTTACAGAAAGGCAGAGTAACTTCTGTATGAGAACCTGTCCTCAATGCAGACTCACCTTGAAATGGTTTTGATGGGATATAGAGTGAGGAAAATAAGTATTTGAACATACAAGTTCTCGCACTTAGAAATCATAGGGGGGTCAGAAATTGTCATCATAGGGGCATGTCCACTAATGTGCACTAATCTTTTTTTTTTTTTTTAAGTCATAATGTAATTTTTTTAAAAATATTTATTTGTATGATACAGCTTCAAATAAGTATTTGAACACCTGTCTATCAGCTATATTTCTGATCCTCAAAGACCTGTTAGTCTGCCTTCTAAGGCTACATTCACACTGCAGCCTGAAGTGACCCAAATCTGATTTTTTTGTTCCAAATGCGACCTGTATCGGATCTTTTCATGGCTGTCTGAACAGCAAAGATACAATTTTTTCCAATGCATTCATCCGACCTGTACACCATTAATACCCGACAAAGGTCACTATTCTGTGTCTTGCTACTTAGAAGTGGCAAGAAAAACAACAACTATGACGAATAATAATGCTGAGAGCAATATTTATGTTTAACCATCTTGAAAAGATTGAGTTTTTAAGGTTGGGAAAGATCAGTAGATGCGTCCCATCACTACTATCCATGTTTACTTCTGTAAACACAGAGCATGCTGGCTTGTGACGTCATTGCGTCCTCTACTGCGCATGTGGGACAATCGGTTGTATGAATGCAGTTCACACAGGAAATCACATACATGTCGCATATATTTGGGAATGTGAACGGCAAAGCAAAGAAATCGGATTTCACAAAAAAATCGGAATTGAGCCTCAAGGCCTGCAGTGTGAATGTAACCAAAATGTCCACCAACACTCCATTTATTATCCTAAATTAGATGCACCTGTTTGAGGTTGTTAGCTGCATAAAGACACCTGTCCACCCCACACAGTCAGTAGAATCCAACTACTAACATTGCCAAGACCAAAGAGCTGTCAAAAGACATTAGAGACAAAATTGTACACCTCCACAAGGCTGGAAACGGCTACGGGGAAATTGCCAAGAAGCTTGATTAAAAAAAAGTCCACTGTTGGAGAAAATGGAATAAGCTAGACATGACTGTCAATCTTCCTTGGACTGGGGCTCAATGCAAGATCTCACCTCAGGAGGTCTCAATAATTCTATGAAAGGTGAGAAATCAGCCCAGAATGACATGGGAGGAGCTGGTCAATGACCTGAAAAGAGCTGGGACCACCGTTTCCATGGTTTCTGTTGGTATTACACTAAGGCGTCATGGTTTGAAGTGATGTATGGCACGGATGGTACCCCCTCCTAAACCAGCACATGTCAAGGCCCGTCTTAAGTTTGCCAATGACCATTTGGATGATCCAGAAGAGTCGTAGGAAAAAGTCATGTGATCAGACAGAACAAAATAAAACTTTTTCATAATTTCACTAACCATGTTTGGAGGAAGAAGAATGATGAGTATTTTACCGAGAACACCATCTCTACTGTGAACCATGGGAGTGGTAGCATATGGTGGTAGTATTTCTCTGCAGATGGTACAGGGCAACTGCACTATATTAAGGAGAGAATGACCGGGGCCATGTATTGCGAGATTTTGGAGAGCAACCTAATTCCCTCAGTTAGAGCATTGAAGATGGGTGGAGGCTGGGTCTTCCAGCATAACAATGACTCAAAGCACTCAACAAGGAGTGGCTTTGGGAGAAGTACATCATGGTTCTGGTGTGGCCTAGCCAGTCTCCAGACCTAAAACCAACAGAGAATCTTTGGCGGGAGCTCAAACTCTATGTTTCTCAGCAGCAGCTCAGGAACCTGACTGATCTAGAGAAGATCTGTGTGGAGGAGTGGGCCAAAATCACTCCTACAGTGTTTGCAAACCCGGTGAAAATCTAGAAGAAACGTTTAACGCTTGACCTGTAAGTGCAATCCAAGGCTACTCTACCAAATATTAACATTGAGTTTATCAGGTGTTCAAATACTTATTTGCAGCTGTATCGTACAAATAAATAGTTATAAAATCATACATAGTGATTTCTGGAGTTAAAAAAAAATTATGTCTCTCACAGTGGTCATGCAGCTATGATGACAATTTCAGACCCCTCCATGACTTCTAAGTGGGAGAACTTACACAATAGCAGAGTCTTCAAATACTTATTTTTTTCCACTTAAAATCTTAAACGGTGAGAAAGGAAATCTGCATGGCGTCTGAATCCAGGAGAACTTGCTCTGACCCAGAAAAAAATGTAGATTCACCTTTTCTCATTTTACCACTTCAAACTTTCAGCATTTTTTTTTCTTACATTTTTTTTACTTTTTACTTAAGGTGAAACTGTCAAATTTTCTGTGAGCAATTTCAGAGTTTCTAGCAAAGTGTCTCTCTTTACAATGAAAAAGAATATCAGATCGAGTGCTTTTCATGCGTCAAGAAAGCATCTACTGTAGTAATACCCAAACTTTGACACTTTGAAGTCAGCGGTGTTTGTCAGATAAGCATACCCGGTCAGACCAGCATACCCAAAGAAAAATACAGATTTATTCCTTTAGTTTATCCATTTAGTTTAACCCTTTAGAAAACTAAAGGGATAAACGCAAATCTGACATCTTGCGAATGCGTTTTGACTATAGGTATGCTGGTCTGCTGGGGTATGCTCATCTAACAGAACACCAACCCTAGAGCTTTAACGCTGTTCTTGACGTGCATCAACCAAATGTGGACAGATGTGCTTATCACATCTGGCCCAAGTCGGGAGGAGCTATCTTGTTCTTTTTCCTCTGCCAGTCTCTTGTGTACAA